TCTGTAATGAGATCTGGTGCCTTCTTTCTGGCCTGTAGGCATACCTCCAGGCCGAACACTGTATACATAATAAATAAATCTTTTTTTAAAAGAAAGAAAAATTAAAATTCATTAATTAATTAAAAATAGGGGCTGGGGTGTGGCTTAGTTTGTAGAGTGCTAGCCGAGCATACACAAAACACTTTTTTCTATCCCAGGACTATGCAAACCCTGAGTGTGGTGGCACACCCCTGTGTCCACATTCTGAGAGGTGGGTGTAGGAGGACCAGAAACTCAAGGTCATTCTTAGCTACATAGAGAAGCCAGCCTGGACTACATGAGACCTCACTTTAAAAACATAAATAACACACCTAGGTAAACCTAAAACAAACATGCTCACTTAACTTTCTGAATAACTGACTTTTACATCTTATACCCTTATATCAAAACCGGGGGAGAAGGAGGGGGGAGAGAATATCTTGCTGTACAGTTCTGTAGTCAAAAATACTTAGCCACTGTAGAAGACAGTTCAACAGGTTCTTACAAAGCTAAAAAAATACACTCTGACCGTTCGCTCCAACAATTACTGGAAACCACTAGATCCTTACTCCTGTAACCAAAGGAAGTGAAAACATTGCCACACACAAACCTGCACAGGAGGGGCTGGAGAGATATCTCAGTGGCTGAGAGCACTTGCTGCTCTCCCAGAAAACCGAATATATAATGGCAGATCGGAATGATGGGGCATTAACCAGAGCTATGAAGCCATGAAAAGACAAGAGAGGAAACGTCAATGTGTATTACTAAGTGAAAGTAGCTGGGAAACAAAACTATGGAAGCAGTGTGTTGATCCGTGGTTGCTAAGGATTGAGAGGAGAGGATAAATGGGGAGCAGAGGGATTCATAGGACAATGAAGTACTCTACATGCTACCATGAGGCCCCGCATGGGTCAGTACATAATTGTCCAATCAATGGGGTTCACCAGGAGTGCATTCCAACGTGAACCATGGACTCTGGTGAGTGTGGCACATCAATGATCTGTGGAACAAACATACTACTCCAGAGAGGACTGTTCAGGTGGACCAGTTTGGGCTGACAAGCAGGGAGGCAAGGTGATGGTGTATGCGGGAAACCTTTTACCTTCCTCTGATTTTTTGCTGTGAGTTAAAAACCGTTCTTAAAAATTCTTGATAGCCTTTTTAAAAAGTGACTAAATAGTTAGCTCAGATTTCTTCAGTGTTTTAGAATGATCACCAAATCATCCAAACTAAGGGAATAGAATGGTTCTACTGGAGCCGGGCTGAGAGAATAGTTGGGTATATCTGTGGCTTTTAAACTATAACCTCAGTGATAACAGATACCCAGAACCTGTGTGCTAAGCACTGGTCTAAAAACCACCCTATGAGTAGATACTGTGCTCATCATCAATTTATGAGTAAGGAAACTGAGTCAGAGCAGTGGAGTCATTTTCTCAAAGTCACACAACTAATAACTGGAGGTGCTGGAGTCCAGACAGACTGACTCACAGTCCTTGCTTAGCTGCAACCTAATGCCCTGCTGGTGAGAACCAAGGACTCTGTAGCTCCACCCTCCTTCTAGTGAAGAAGGGAGATCGCTCTAGTTTTCATCATCTCTTCCCCAGAGACGCCGTCTTGCGGGGGTGGGGAGGGGCACTAACACACCACAATCTGATTCCCAGAAGAAACTCAAGGAATCTGGTAACAAAACAAACCTCATCCACATCCAAGAAAAGTGTTTTTCAGGCTAAGTAAGGTGGCATGGGTAAAGGGTTGAGTTGGATCCCCAGGGTCTACATGGTAGAAGGAGGAAGGTGACACCTGGAAGTTATCCTGTGATCTCCACATGCATATTGTAAGTACACACATGTGCACACACACAAATATACATACAAACATACACACATAAAATGTTTTTTATCGAAAATGCTCTTCTAATAATAGCCAAGAGGAATATAAAATGCCCATCTTTAAAGTTTTTAAGTTGTTTTTTATTTATTTTGTGTGGGTGTAGATGTGGGTGTGTGGACACTGCATACCATGGCACACACGTGAAAGTCAGAGGACAACTTGCTTCTGTAAGTCCACCATGTGGGTGCTGGAACCAAACTCAGGTCCGGGCTTGGCATCAAGTGACTTTGCTTACTCCGCCATCTCATCCAACCCACCCCCCAGAATTTACATTTTAAACAAGGGAGTATTTGAAACTAAGCAAACCTGTGTGCACAGTGAGAGGTTGGTGTAAGATCATTAAAGTAAGAGAGCAATGAAAAGCTTCATGCCCATCCAAGATGTGAAAACGGCATAAAAGTTAAAGTTCCATTCAGTTCAATTTCGGTGGATACCAGCAACATGCACAGAATGCCACACTTTAATACCGAGCAGATTCTTGAGAAACAATGGATGATATGCCACGGGCACCGCTTTCTGACCAGGAACACATAATCTGAAGAAACCAAAACAACAACCGATGAGACCTTGGAAATTTGCTCAAGTCATCTTCTACTTCCAGGAAGGTCTAAAGCATGTTTACACTTTTAAAGTTTAGAGGGATAGAGAGATGGCCCAGCAGTTTAGAGAGCTGGCTGCTCATGCAGAGAACTTGGGTTCAATTCCCAGCACCCACGGGGCAGCTCACAAGCATCTGTAACTCCAGTTCCAGAAGCCCCAACACCCTCTTCTGGCCTCCACCAGAACCAGGCATGCAAGTGGTGTGCACAGATGTACATGCAGACAAAACATTTATGTACACACACAAATAATAAATTAAACTTTAAAACAGGAAATCTGTGAAGAAAAGTGAAGAGACATCCATGCATAAACCCTGACTGTGTTTCCGGAAGTTAAGTGTCACCCGTCCTGTTTTGTTGGAGATGTCTGTGATCTGTGTGGCCGTGTCATTTCCAGAGCCAGCTCATCTCCAAAATGGTTCTAATAATATATGCTTAACGTGTTCTACAAAAGACAGGTTAATTAGTATTTATAAGCTACCTGGAGATAGATAGATTGTGTTAATAATACTCTATCGTCTCATTAGCACTCTTTAAAAAAAAAGAAAACAAGTCTTACAAACTATTACTCTGCCAACACACTGTTTTGGTTCTTTCATTCGTGGGAAACATTGGCAAAAAAAAAATTATACTTTGACCAGACCACTGCAAATCACTAATAATTCTCTGGATTTAATTTAGAAATCTTATAGTACATTGATAAAGTCTGAATTATAATTTTGTGTCAATTACTTTTCAATATTTGTGCTTTTTAAATTCATACATTCTAGACCACTGAATAGCTCTTGTCTTGGAGTGACAAACATCTGCTACTTCTCAAACTTCAGTATCTACAACACTGAAAAATCTCACTGGGGAAAGAATTCATGTTTTCAAAACTAAACCTGTAATCAGTCAGCTGATCAGTTTGTCCCCATCATAAATGACAGCAACCTGGCCCTGTCTGATGTGTCCACCTTATTATAATAATACAAATAATTAACATGTATAAAGTGTCTGTGCCCTTCAGACTGTCTTATAGTCATTCATTATTAGAGCTGCTCACTGAAGCCTTTGACTGGCATTGTCGGATGTGATTATATTCATTTCTTCCCAGAGAAGTGAAGCACAAAGAGACGGACTAATTTCCCGAGGGCTTCATGAAAAAAAAAGAAAGCATCTGTTTCCCCATGATGACCAGTCACCTAGGTACCAGATTGTGGATTTCCTAGGGAGTGATGGACATAGCCCTTCCTTTCATGTGTTTCATTTCCCACTGATCAACGTGAAGCTCATGTCTCAAAGTCACACGCTTTATGTACACAGATGAAAACTAGAGAATCATGATGGCGTGGGGTGGGGTGGTGCATGCCTGTAACCTCAGCTTTGGGGAGGCAGAGGCATCAGGAGGATCAGACATGTTCAAGGTAAACTCCAGGCCAACCAAGGGTATATAGCGAGACTCTGTCTCAAAAAGGATTTTTTTTTAAAGGATAAAGGCAGACAATTTGGAGTCTTGGTAGTTCTGCTCCTAGATCAAATCAAAAGCTCTCATCGGGCTCAGTGACATGCATCTGCAATGCCAGCACTCAGATGGCTGAGAGAGAAGAATTGGAGTTCAAAGTCAGCCTTGGCTCAGTGAGACACATCCTAAAAGTTACTACAGAGCTTGTTACTCCTTTTCAACTTACTGCAAACAAGTACAAGGGGCTGCAGCCGAGAGAGCTCAGTAATTAGTGTTTGCCATACAAGTACGTGGACATGAGCTTAGTTCCCAGTAGTTGTGTGAAAAAGCCAGGGCCTTGGGCTTCTGCTTGCCATCCCAGCACTGAGGAGTCAAAGATATGCAGATCTTGGGGGGCTCCCTGGCTAGCAAGCTTGGCCTGCTTCACAGGTTCCAAACCAGTGAGACCCCCATCTCAAAAAACAAGCGAGGTGGCTGACGGGCAACACCTGAAGTTTCCCTCTTGCCTCCATACCTGTGTGCACCTATAGGCACACACATGTGGGTCAGCACATGCAAAAACATGAATGAGCAGCAAACGCCATGAATATGCATATACATGCACAAGTCAAAATAGACTAATTTAAGAATTCTTACTGGCAAGAGGTCACTAAATATGGAGAACTTCATTAAGAAAGGAAAACACTCAGTAACGGTGGGACAATTGAGACATTCTAGTGCATTTCTACACCACGGGAGCTAATATTTCTAATGTGAATTCATTGTTACATTGCGGAGGGGGAGGTCTCTGCTCTTTTCCGGGGGTCAAAAGGCTGTAAACTCTCATCTTGGTAACACAAATGATGGTGTCCGCTCTGTGATTTATGGGGCTATGATTTAGTGTTACTAAGACTTCAAGGCTGTGAATTAGGATCACTGTCCCTGGCACCTTTTTCATTCATAAAAAATACCCTTGGGGCACTTTGCCACCTACTGGACACTATTAAAAATCACCCAATTATGAAAAGCAGCAATTAGGATACAACTAATGTTTTATTTCAGATCGGCATAGTTGAGATGAAGTCCTATAAAAGCCAGTGGGGTTGTCACCCGTAGAAGATAGACTGGCTTTGCGCCTCTCTGGGGAAGAAAGTCGCTGGGTTGTGCTGTCGCTATGTCTTTTCGATTTTCTGGGGGATCCCGGGTCTGTTCCCGAGCTGGGTCTGTCAGGCTGTCCAGGGCAGGGGCAGGCTTTGTGGCTGGGAATGTGTGTGTGGGGCCCGGAGCAGAAAGCAGCTTTTCTTGCACCCTTGGAGGCATCTCTTCTGGAGGAGGCTTTGGCAGTGGCAATGAGATGTCAGGAAGGGCTAACAACACTGGTTTCCTTAACAATGAGCCTGGACTCCTCTCTGGGAATGAGAAGGTGACCATGCAGAACCTCAATGACCGTCTGGCATTGTACCTGAACCACGTGAGTGCCCTGGAGGAGGCCAACACTGACCTGGAGAAGAAGATCGAGGGCTGGTATGAGAAATATGGTCCTGGCAGTGACCGTGGACTCAACTATGACTACAGCAAGTATTTCTCAGTCATCGAGGATCTGAAAAGACAGGTAAGAAATGCAGAGTCCCATGCTGTGGTTACAGGCATGGGGCGGCCATAACTGAAAGCAAAGGAAGCCTAGGAAGTAGTTGGCAGTGGAGTGTGGTGGCACACACCAGTCATCGTAGCTACTGAAGAGGTGTGACAGAGGATCGCAAGGCTGAGGCTGGCCTGGAAACTTAGAGACCCTAACTCAATTAAAAAAAAAAAAAAAAAGCTAGGTATAATAGTAGACCTTTTGCCCAGCATGACTGTGATTCTCAGTTCAACCTCCAGTGCCATAAATGAGCTTAATTCATTCATTCATTTCAAATGTACTCACCAAGTACATAGGGTATGGAATTTGCTCACTCATTGTTCCTGGAGTTAAAGGGGTGCCTAATAATTTAAACAAATGTAGAATCAAATAGTGAAAGAGAAATAGCTTCAAAAATCACTATAATTGAACCAGACCTGTAATCCCAGCCAAACCAGAGGATCACAAGTTTGAAGCTAGCCTGGGTAATTTAATGAAACCCTTCTCAAAACAAAAACTGAGAGTTAGGGACATAGTTCAGTAACAGAGTGTTTGCCCAGCATGTAGAACCACAAAGACGTTGCACTAACTTTTTTTTATTTTGATATTTATTTCATACTTTTTGATGAACAACAATGAAATTCTCTGTGGGGCGCTTTATTGTCTGAATTTTACCCATGATTGTTTTGTTGTTGCTGTTATCTAATATGCTAGGCAAGATCTCTACTACTGAGTTATACCCCAAAACCAAAGTTCTCTGAATATCCAAATCAAGATACCAATATAAACATTTGCAGTGGAGTCACACTGATTCTGGAATGTACTTTGATCTGTCCCCTTCAGATTGTTTCTATGACCACTTTCAATGCCAACCTTATTCTCCAGAATGACAATGCTAGACTCACGGCGGATGACTTCAAGATGAAGTAAGTAGGTGAAAGTGAAGTGATTGTTATTAATAATGGCTAAAAGACTACAGCTGTAGTAAAGAGTGTATCTCTCACTTTTAAAAGCTATATTTTGTGTGTTTTATTTTATGTATATGGGTGCTTTGCATTTATGTCTGTGTATGACTTGTGTGCCTGGTAACTTTGGAGGCCAGAAAAGAGCATCAAATCTACTGAAACCAGAGTTACAGACAGTTGTTAGCCGCCATGTGGGTGCTGGGAAATCAGATGCAGGTCGGTCCTCTGGACAATGCTCTTAACCACTGAGCCATCTCTCCAGTCCCCCAAACAAACTATTTTAATGAAACCGCTCTATATTGACAAAGAAGTGGAATTTAATACATCCTTATAAAAAGATCTATCACAAATTTTTCAAAATCTGACACTATTTTATTATGATATGTTATTAGATGGCCAAGATCAACTGTAAGGAAATAACACCTCTAAAATAATGTATTTATAGGGGCTGGGATGTCAAAATTTTGCCACAAAATCATGAGGGTACCTAAATTCAGACCTAAAAAAAAAGAAAACAGCATATGTGTAAATCCTAATGTTGGTGCCATGGAGACAGTAGGGGCTTGCTGGCCAGTCAGTCTGGGCAAATTGGTGAACTCCAAAAAACAGAAGGTGTCGAGTTGGTAAGAAAGACCCCAATATTGACAATGCATGCACATGTACAAACATACTTACAAACTAATAGGTATCTCAAGCTATCTTAATAGTTTGCCATGCAAGAAGCCTCAGAAATACCAAGCAAAATCAGAACACCCCACTCCTCAGTAAATAATGTGTCTTTACAGGTTGTGTCCACTGGTAATCTGAATTCTAAAACACCTTTGCACCCTTTAAGGTATGAAAACGAGCTCGCTCTGCACCAGAGTGTTGACGCTGACACCAACGGTCTTCGCAGAGTGTTGGATGAACTGACGCTTTCTACAACCGACTTGGAAATACAGCATGAGGCTCTGAGCGAGGAGCTGATGTACCTCCAAAAGAACCACGAGGAGGTAAGGGCGCCTGCAGAACAACCTCGCACAACATTTCCTTCTTCAAGTCCATACCAGGGTGTGGATGTCAATCAAAATGCTCCCGAGTGTTAAGGATTACCCCTTTCCAGGAAATGGAAGTCCTGCAAAACGCATCAGGGGGGAACATCAATGTGGAGATGAACGCAGCCCCCGGCGTGGATCTAACCGCCATGTTGAACAACATGAGGGCTGAATATGAAGATCTGGCTGAGCAGAACCGAAAAGATGCAGAGGCCTGCTTTAAAGAGAAGGTACATCTGCAGCAGGTGACACGGGAGGGGCTGGTTCAGTAAACAGTCAAGCGCATTACTAACCCTTGTGACAAATCCTCTTCAGAGTGCGACACTACAGCAACAGATTTCCGATGATGCAGGAGCAGCCACGGCGGCCAGAAATGAGCTCACGGAACTGAAACGCAACCTGCAGACTCTGGAAATAGAACTTCAATCCATCTCAGCCATGGTATGTAAGAACGGAGCTGGAGGCGTGCATCTGCCCACTTTCCGCTACTGCAGAAAAACACCCCCAAGCAGGACAGTTTGCAAGGAAAGAGGGTTTATTTACTCACGGTTTTGGAAGCTGCAAACCCAAGCAGCACGGCCCTCTCAAGCAGCGACATCACATCATGGCGAGTGGCATCATCGCGACAGAAGTTTGAGCAACATGAGGCACGAAGCTAGAGCACAGGGAGGGACCACAATCAACTGTTTTAAAACAACTCTCTCTGAAGAACTGTGTCTGACTAGAACTAAATCACCTTACTCTCAGAGCAGTGTCCTTGGTGACTTAACCCCACCCCACCCCATCCCTACCTCCTAAAGATCCCCGCATACCTTAATATCACCATACTGGGACCAAGCTTCTGGTAGATAAATAAATCCTTGAGGGGACATACTCAAACTACATCCCCAAACCTAACATTATATGGGCACAGGTAAGTAAACACATATATACGATGGATATTTTTTAATACTTTATTTTATCTCTATGAGAGTTTTGCCAGCATGAGTGAATGCATAGCTTGTATGTGTGGAGCCTGTGGGGTCAGAAGAGGATGTCAGGTCCCCTAGAGCTGGAGTTACAGATGGTGAGAGCCGTCATGGAGGTGCTGGGAACCCAAGTCCTTTGAGAAAACAAGTGTCCTCAGCTGGTGAGCATCTCTCCAGCCCCTATAATATGAATTTTTATAACACTAAATGTAGTATATCTAATTAAATGAGCAAATATGCTACCTTAAGTAATGTGAGTTCCATAACTAAATGACTACCATATATTAAGTAACAGGAATCCCATCCATAAATATTACTACTGCACACCACTGCCAAAGGTCAACAATTCTTTTTCTGTATGAATCCTGCCAGTTTTGATTTCCAGTTGAAAATATGATATGTACACCTCGTACAAACACTTCCTTCTACCTTAGGAATGCTTCGGTGTGGACACGTCACCCTCTCTGCTCACTCCTCTGCCTTTCTTTCAGAAACAATCCTACGAAAGTTCACTGGCTGAGACGGAAGGGAATTACTACTCCCAACTCCAGCAAATCCAGGAGCAGATCAGGGTGCGGGAGGAGCAGCTGCAGCAAATCCGAACAGAGACGGAAGGCCAGAAGGTGGAGCACGAGCAGCTGCTGGGCATCAAAACATGTCTAGAGAAGGAAATCGACATGTACTGCAACTTACTAGATGGAGAGGAACGGTAAGAGCTAACGTGAAACAACTGTCGAATGGCTGGGTTCTTACATGTTCGTTATACATGTGCTACATACTACATAAGTGCTTAATATACATAGCATATATTACATATTTAGTACATGTTCTGCTTGTTTTGTAATTGTAGCATATTACATCTTAGAACTTCTTAAAATAATATGTGTATATATATATATATACACACACACATATATATGTGTATTTCCAATTATGTACATTATTGCATCCAATGAAATGAAAACAGAAGACAGAAATTTGAAATCAAAACTTACCAGGTTCTTTTGGATTGAGTGCTGTGGTTGTTGATGATGACGATGATTTTTTTGAGACAGGATCTCATTACCCTGAACTCCGTGTTCTTCCTGCCTCAGCCTCCTGAGTACTAGGATTATAGGCATGGGCCACACACATAGCCTAGAAATCAAATATCTTACTATGGAAAATATTTGCATGCATAAGTATATGAAGGGTAATTAAAAACAAAATCTTGATCATTCTACTACTCTAGTGCAAGAAAAAAATTGCTCTCATACGTCTATATTTAAATACATTTTTTATAACTTAACCTGTTTTATTACTTCCCTGGTTACCACACACACTCTCTGAATGATGATTAAGATTTCACTGCATTACTGTATAGTGGTGAGCACAGACACCCCCTGAGAAGATGTCATTAGAGTTTGTTAGCCAAGACCCCAAACGCCCCAGAATTGTAGTCCTGGGTGTGACATTCATCCTGAGAGAAGTTGAACACATGGATAAACCTCTTTGAACCACGGTTATCTTTTTGGTAATGTTGTGAATACAGCAAAACGTCTGTTCTCAGCTAAGGCACCTCACTGTGAAGGTGAAGTGCCTTGACAGAGGCTGACTCTCAAAATCTACTAGGTCATCAGTGGCTGCTACCAAACACTGGCCCATTTCACACTGAATAAGCTACCTTCTTCTTCAGTCTCTGAGGCCAGGCAGAGCCCGCCTCAGACTATTCTTTCTTTGTTTGTTGTTGTTTTGTTTCGTTTTGTTCTTTGTTGATTTTTGTTTTCAATATGTGGCAACCTCAATTTCTCCATCCTCCACTCCTCCCAGTACCCCAATACCTCCCCTCTCTCAAAGATCCACTCCTCCTCCTCCATTTCCTTGCAGAAAAGAACAGGCCTCTCAGAGATCCACCAAACACAGCATAACAGGATATAATAAGACCAGGCACAAACCCTCCCATCTAAGTTTGAGGCCAGCCTGGTCTACAGAGTGAGTCACAGGACAGGCAGGGCTACACAAAAAAAAAACAAAAAAACAAAAAAAAAAAAAAAAAACCCTGTCTTACATAACTTTTTACATCCATGTGTTGCCTTTCTAACATTACAAACTACTGTGTTTCTTAGATCTCTATTTTCTTTTTTAGTTTTTCAAGACAGGGTTTCTCTGTGTGACAGATCCCTGGCTGTCCTGAAACTAATTCTGTAGACTAGGCTGGACTCAAACTCACAGAGCTCTGGCTGCCCCTGCCTCTGCCTCTGCCTCTGGAGTGCTGGGATTAAAGGCACGTGCCACCATGCCTGGCTAGGTCTCTATCTTCTACAACACCTAGTCCAGCTCCTTCTATAAGCAGGCACTGAGCTGTTGAGGGGAAAGTCAGGAGAGGAGCTTGTGATGCCCATGTTTCTAGATGGAAGAGATGATGTCTGGCCATAAATAGCCATTTAACTTCTTTTAATTATGCTGCAGTCACAAAAAAAACTTATTAAATAGAACAATTTTAAACTTACTGAAACTAGAACTCCAAAATTATTATTTCTGGTGCTGGAGAGATGTCTCAGCAATTAAAAGTGAATTTAATTCCCAGCACTCATGTCAGACACTTCCTCTGGCCTCCACAGGCACCTGCATATATGTGGACATACACATGCACATGAATGTAACCAAAAGTAACTTATTAAAAACTATCAAATTCACAGCCATTTATGAGCTCTAGTTGAAAAAAATATATAATGCTCTACTCTTCTCTTCACAGAAGAAATGAGTCCACGAGTTACAAGCCTGCGAATGAAGCCAGTGGTATGGAGGGAATTTTAGCATAATTTTGTCTGAGTATGGGGGGGGGCTCCTCTGTGTGTGTGTGTGTGTGTGTGTTTGTGTGTGTGTTTGTGAGGGGACCTGCTGTGGGGGGGGGCTGCTGTGTGTGTTTTGTGTGGGCCTACTATGTGTGTGGGGGGGGCCCTGGTGTGTGTGTGTGTGTGTGTGTTGTGTGTGTGTGTGTGTGTGTTGTGTGTGTGTGTGTGTGTGTGTGTGTGTGATTTAATTAGGCTCTGTCTCAAAATAAAGATAAAATGAGAGCTGGACAGGCATCCAGGAAACCAGCCTTGGCCAGGTTCAACCTCCAGTTCTAATGGGAAAAGGGAGAGAGTAGGGGGAGGAAGGGAGGGAGGGAGGGAGGAAGGGAGGGAGGGAAAGAGGAGAGAGGGTTGATTGTTCCAGACCTGATGTTTTGGTTGGTTGGTTGCTTGCTTGCTTGCTTGGTTTGGGTTTGGGTTTTTTTGAGACAGGGTTTCTCTGTCTAGCTTTGGAGTCTGTCATGAAACTCACTTTGTAGGCCAGGCTGGCCTCAAACTCACAGAGATCCCCTTGCCTCTGCCTCCGGAGTGTTGGGATTAAAGGAGTGTGCCACCACTGCCCCACTTAGACAGACCTGATGTTTTAATGGTTTTAACACATACTTTATTTGTGCTTTCAAGTACCCTTTTGCAGAGAGGGGAAGAGAAGGGGATAGAATTCAATCAATCCTGGGTCTTGTTAAGCACTAACTTTAAACATAGCATTATATCCCAATTGTCTTCAAACTTGCAAAAACCAGTTTTTAAAAACAGACCTGCCAGGACTAAGTACCTTTCCCCTGTTAAGACTGACCACTGACATTTCCCTGTCTTCGCTGTAGACTCAACAGAAGAGTCGTTTATGAGAACGGTGGCTGAAGAGCTAGATCATCTTGGCAGCCTCCTTTCCCTGCGAGTGCACTCTGTAGAAGAAAAGTCTTCTAAAATCAGCAACATCACCATGGAGCAGCGGGTGCCCTCCAAAGCCCCGTGATGATAGGAAGATGATCCACAACACAAAAAGCTGCCTCTGCAAAATTCCATTGGCCGAGTAACCCAAGAAAATTATCCATGTCTGTTCTTAAACTCAAAAGGACTAGACTCAGGTTTCCTTTTCTTCATCTTCTCACACTGTCATTGGCAACACAGGTGGAGGTGCCGGGACCCTTCCATGACAGAGAAAAGAAATCCATGGAGAGCTGATATGAAGCAGAGTTGGGGACTTACAAAAAGGCATTTGATGAGCTGCATGTACCCAAGCATCAACCAGGAGTCTTTTGCTTTTTGTTGTTTAGATTTTTTTGGCTAAGGGTTTCTCTGTGTAACAGCTCTAACTGTGCTAGAACTTTGTAGACCAGGCCGGCCTTGAACTCACAGAGAACTGCCTGCCTCTGCCTCTGCCTCCCCTCCCAAGTGCTGGGAGCAAAAACGTGCACCATCACCATCCAGGAAACACTTAGGTGTCTTTATCACTGTGTATATATAGGATTTTGGTGCCTCTCAAGCTGTATCCCTAAAGGTTACAAGAAACTCCCCTCTTGTTCCTCTAACATTGCTCAAAGGGTACAGCTTCTAACAAGGTTAAAACTTAAGAGTTTCCTTCTATAAACAAGGTTGGAAGATGGATTGATGGAGATGTTGTTTAGATTTAGGAGTAAGAAAGGAGTGAAGGTGATAATATGACATGCTGGTCCTAAGTAAGTATAATTTAGCTTGACAAGTTGTCTTTGGGGAAAGTCATGTACTGTCTCTCTGGCCATTTGGGCTTCACCAGGGATTTCTGAAGTTCCCTCCCTTTCTCTGGAGAAAACGTGTGTCACACTCTGGGAACAAAGGCATACTTTTTTGTCCTTTCCTTCCATGTGACCATACTGTTCCTATCTGTCTATCCTGTCCCAGTGCTTTGGAAATGAAACAATCTTGGTAGTTTTTGTTTTTATTTTGTAAACCTGTGGCCATCTCATGAAGAGTTCTTCTGTTGCAAATTTTGTTTGTTTGTTTGCTTGCTTGCTTTTGGAGACAGGGTTTCTCTGTATAACCTTGGCTGTCCTGGAACTCACTCTGTAGACCAGGCTGGCCTCAAACTCACAGAGATCTGATGGCCTGTGCTGGGGTTAAAGGTGTGCGCCACTACCACCCAGTGCAAATTATTTTTATATATCTGCTTCTTTTTAATTTCCACAGCTACTCCTAATGTGACCATGCCAAGGCTGAAATCATCGAGCTTCATCTCACAGTCACATTTGCCTCAATGACAGTAGAAAGCAGAAAGGGTACTAGCCCTAACCTTGGGTCCCAAAACCCAGTTAACTGTGCAATGATTATTAGGTCTTCTGTGGGTGTAGAAGTTAATATATCCATTGATCATTAGGGTCTGGTCTTCTGTGGGTGTAGGTTAATATACCAGTAGATCATTAGGGTCCATTCACTCTTCTGATGCTCACATGAATGATCAGGGAATGTTCTGGAATATGAACCTGGCTAACTCTTTTTCCACTTGGTAATGCATGCACCTCTTTCCCCCAAGCCCATTGTGATGACTAAGCAAACCTAGAACTGTTCCACTCAAGCAGGACAGTATTGCTGTAAATAAGGATCAGGATAAACAAATAGACCGAATAGATGTTTATTCAGGGAGAAATAACTTACAACCTAGACAGATGAACACCAGGAAATTCAACCCGATCCTCTCCTGTCCGAGTCACGCCAGAAAGAGAGCGCCTTCCCTGGCCCCCTCTGACCTCCTTCCACAGGTCACTTCAGCCCATGGCTCCACCCCCCAATGGGCGTGGTCAGTGCCACAGAAGGACTATCTCACTACAGGACAGGGCTTCTAAATCTTACTGACATCCTCTGAGTATAAGACCATGCCTGACACTGTGCAATGAATAACAAAGAAACTCACAACTCAGCAAAGGGCAGAGAATAAATGCCCATGGTGTGTAGCACTCAGCCATAAATGGAGCATCCTTATTACATCCCCTGCCTCAAAGTTCAGGGAACATATCAGAAAAGGGGAAAAGACTCAAAAGGCAAAAAGTCATGGAGGACCAGACTGAAACAGTGTCTTTTGGACATGATCGGTCCACTGCACCCACAAACGCACTCAGCTGTGGTTGCCCACACAAGATGAGCACAAAAACAGGCCAGTCAACAAACATGAATCAAACGGAGGGCTCACAAGCCCCTACCCCTAGCTGAGGTACTACAGATCACTGATGGCTTCCAGGAGTAGGAAAGTCAGTTTTCGTTTGGGGGTGTGACCCCTATTAGGTATACCAATCTCCAGTGGGTGGCTACACACCAATCTGTAAATGAGAAACACAAATTGAACTAAATGGGTTATAAAAATTGGGTGGGGCATGAAGTTGGGAGGGGGCTGGAACATGGATGTGGGAGGAGTTATGGGAAGAAGAAGGGGTGAATATGATCAAAATACAGTCAGTGCACACAATAAATTCTCAAAGAATTAAAATTAATGAAAATAATAATAAAAATAATATTGTGCCTGAAAATCTGACACGACCTTCTTCTTGGGAAGTGCACCTAGGAAAACCACCAGAACATTCAGTTGAAGAAGTTTTTTCACTTGTGGCCAAATGAGGCAGGCAGCAATACAATAACCTGGTTCTCCAACACGCATGACAGGCACCACTGAAGGGCCTTAACGAACTGGAGTACAGGCAACATGAAGTTCAGAACAGAAGTGCTCACTCCTCTGAGGGTGCACCTCTGTCCTGATTGCAGTTTTTCCCAACTCCCATATGATATAATTGACTCCGACGTGTAGACAGTTTCTTAAGATGTTGACATAGCTGATTGTTCACTTGGCAGGACCTGTTGTCATGAATGACCCCACTTGTAATGCTCAAAGCTATAATTTCAGAGTGAGTTAGATTAAGTCAGGTTAGAAGTGCCACTAAGAGCAGAACTACAGTGGCAATTGCTTATATTTATCAAGTGTGCTTAAATATACTTTAAATGAATTAACCAATGTATAAATGAATTAACCAATGTAATCTTCTTTAAAAATTGTAAGCTCTGTTTTATTTTTAAGTTTATATGAGAGTTTATATGATATATATATGTATATGTATGTATGTATATATATATATATTACACATACACACACACACACACACACATATATATATATTTCAAAAAATTAAGGAACTTCCCAGCTGCACAGCTGATATATGATAGGACCAAGGTTCAAATCCAAATCTCCTTCTCACCCATGAGAGCCCTTGCGTTTATCCCTAGAGGGGCAGAACTGATAGAATAAGTATATATTCAAAGAGAATATACTAATCATCTTATGCAATACAGTCAGTGTAGTCCAACTGTGGCAGTCTTCACAATGAAGAGGGTAAGAACTCAGTAGCTACATAGTCCAAGAGGCTGTATGTCCCAGCAGTCCCAATCTGCTGCTAACAGACTGGAAGACTCCTGGAGAGCCACTGGTTTTCAGTTCATGTTGGAAAGCCAAAGGAACTGGGTTCTGATATCAGCAAAGGATGATGGACAGTAGGAGAAGCAAAAGCTGGGAGAGCAGCAGAGGAGATGCACTGGCCAGCAAGAAGCAAAGACAAGCAGGCAAAAAAGCAAGTTTCCCCCCACCTCAGACATTCTTATAACTAGGCTACTGCTGGAATGAGCCATCCATTCTATCACAGTCCTAATGTGCAAAATAGAATCAGCATGGGAATTTCATATTCTGTTTTCTTAGTGAGATTCTTCTGCCACCAAGGAGACACCACTAACAGGCAAGTTCTTCCACGCATAGTCACCAATGACCCAATGAAGAGTGTGGCAGGGTGAGGTTACACTCTACCCCCACTCTCCTCTTCTCTTCTTGCTACCCTCCAGCTCTTCCCCTGTACTGCCCTTCTCTTCCCCTACTCCCTTATTAAGTCTTATCATCGGATGCCTGCCCCCCACCTGGGGCTACTGTTTTTCGCATTTACTTCATTATTCTCATTCTGACCGTTAGGGTCACATTGAGGCTGAGTAGAGACACATACTCAGTTCTCTCAAAACACACGGCAAACTTACTATTTAGGGATCACAGCGGTAGACTCTCTTTATCTTATGACTACCAGGAATCTTATGATGCCACCTTATTCTCAATAGAGTTCCTTTCTTTCCAAGAACAAGCTAATTACCACTTTTCTGTGTTTACATTTTCCTTTTTAAGCAGACAGACATGCTTGTCTCTATGATAGGCAGATTTACGTAGTATATGTTTTTAATGAAAATACATTCTCCTTATGAAGACAGAAAAGTTTAAACAGTCTTCCTTGTTTTCAAAAAGTCAATATTTACCAAAAAAAGAAGAAAAGAGTAAAAGTCTCACCAATACAAAAATTTCACTGGACATTATTTTTCCCTCTTGTAATTCTATTATTTATTCTTTGAGAATTTCATACACACAACTTTGTCATATTCTTTCCCTAACTTCCAGATCTTCCCCCACCCTCTACCTAATTAGACATTCTTAACAGTGAGATAACAATAACATACCAGTGACTACACAACAGACAATTCTCTGGAGACAGAGGCAGACAGATCTCTTGAGTTCAAGGCTAGTCTAGTCTAATTCCAAGCCATCCAGGGATACACAGAGAGACCCTGTATCAAAAATAAATAAAAATAAAAGATGGGTCTTAAAAACCTAATAACAGGGGTTTGTTTAATCTCCTCAAATAATAGTGAGAATGCATACCAACTTCTTAACAAAGATGTCTTCGATATGTTAAAAATTCAAAATTACAAATAAAATTTATTAAAAGGTTCAACCACGCCATTAATTTAAAAAAAAACTTTAATTTAATTTATGCACGTGAGGCACTATTACAATCCCAACAAACTGAAAACAGCTTTAGAGTATCTGTCAAAAATTCTTCATGCTACTCCCAAATTGTTTCTGCTTTGGGAACACTATGAACAATGATTGACAAATTTTCCTCACATAAAATATCTGAAATTACTCAACCAGAGAAACAAAAATAAAGGAAAATGAATCTGGGTATGGTGGCACATGCCTTTAACTCCAGCATTCAAAAAGCTAAGGTGGGAGAATTGTGAGTATGAAAGTAGTCTGCACTGACAGAAAATTCTGGGCCAGCCTAGGCTATGGAACCCTCAGGAGAAGACTAAGGAGGAGGCAAAGGAGGAGGAGGAGTGACCTGGACCAGAAGGTTATTTTTTTCAGTGACAGCATCCTGAGAGAGAGGACCAAGGCATCAAAAGACAAGGTGATGGGTAAGTTTGGAATTGAGAGGTCTGCTATGTGTTGTGCCAGACAAGCGTGTTCAGAAGTGCAGCACCTCGTGTTTTATTTCCATGGGAGAAATGGGACAGAGTCAGTAGAAAATATCATGGGATAGAACAGTCACTATGAGGCTAATCATGCAACGTTACACAAAGAGAACACAGGTTGTCTCAAGAGCATTATAGACCATACACACAGCAGCATTGGGACTGGTAACTCCAGTCTCTTCCTTAAGAAAAACCAGGCTACCAGGAACAGAAATTTAACTCCTTCAAGGCCTTGGCTCTAGCCCCAGACTGACCTTGCCAAGTCTGCTATTGGGAAAGGATACAGAATGAATGTTCCCTTTGTTCTTCCATCAGGGCTCTGAGAAACCCTTGGGTCAGCTTGGCTCTCAACAGAGGAGGAAGGTGGGAGAGGGTGAAGAGGAAGTGGAGGAGAAGGAGGAGGAAGCAAAAAAGGAAGAGGAGAAAAAGGAGGAGGTTAGTTTGGTTAGTTTTAAAAAAAACAATTTAAAGAGGAGAGGGTGAAAGGAAGGATAACTAAAACTAAGAGTGTTTTAAAAGGCCATATGAAACCTATTATTATATATGCTTTGTGATATATATAGATATATAGATATAGACATACATATATATACATATATATATGTATATATATGGGATACCTCCATCAAGTTGTTGGTCAAGGGTATCCTGGAGACCCCTCCTGTCTTGGAGTTTTTATTGCTGTGAAGAGACATTATGACCACAGCGACCCTTACAAGGAAAACTCGCTTACATGTTCAGAGGTTCAGTCCCTCATCATCATGGCGGGAAGCATGGTCGTGTGCAGGCAGACATGGTACTGAAGAAGATGAGAGTCCTACATCTTGCAGGCAACAGGAAGTCGACTGAGACCCTGAGGGAAGCTTGAGCAAAGTAGACCTCAAGGCCCACCCCCACAATGACACGCTTCCTCCAACAAGGCCACACCTACACCAACAAAGCCACACCTCTCAGTAGTGCCATTGCCTTTGAGGGATATTTTCTTTCAAACTGCCACACCTCCCAACAATACAGACGATTGCCATCACTCTTGGTTGCCCAAGAACTTGATGATAAGAACCTGTTGCTGAAGACAACACACACATTGGCTATATGAAAAAGAAATCACTTTCTTAGAAAGTTTCCTCCCTCCTGGCAAGCTCTCATAGTATTGGAAAATGTTACACCGGCTTCTGGGGCAGAAAAGATAACAACAATAATAACAACAACAATCGGTAATCTTACTTAGCTGTAAACCTGTGAAACACCCATAGTAGGTGCTGGGAACTGAAAGTGCATGTTCTTAACCACTAAGCCATTGCATCAGCCCATCACTATTCTTTTTTAAATCCTAAATAGGAATAGGGAGAAGCCTCAGTGGGTGACTTGTTTGCTGTGCAAAGTTTGGATTCCCAACTCCCATGTAAAAGATTTTGGTTGCATGTCTGCAATCCCAGTGCTAAGGGTATGGAGACAGGAGGATCCTAAGGGCTTGCTGAACATCCAGTCTAGATAAAATGGCAAATTCCAGGTTCAGTGAGTGATCCTATCTCAAAAACTAGAGATGGGTGGCAAGACAGTTCAGTGGTTAAAGCACCTGCCATGCCAGCCTGAGGACCCACGCTCAATCCCTAGATTCCAAAATAAAGGTAGAAGGAAAGAAGCAACTCCACAGAGTCGTCCCCTGACTCTATACACAGACATCATAAATAGGGTAAGTGCACATGTACACACAATAATAGTAACATTCTTAAACACAAGTAGAGAACAATAGAAGAAGTTGACCTATGATATGTATACACACACACACAGTCCTATAATGCCTTATCAAAATTTTTGGAACCAATACATGAATTCAGTAAAGTTGTAGAAACAATATCCATGTATGTGACAAACAGCAATATCTCTACTCGGTAATCACAAAGCATCACAGAACAAAACAATCAATCCCCGGACCATAGAACAAAAGCACCTAAGGAAACTGCAATGCGGGAGCTAACGGATCCTTACACTAATAAGAGAGGAGCTGCAGACCCTTGGTAGCTTCTAGGGGAGGGGGAATTCATCTTCTTTTAAGGGTATGGCTCCTGGTAGGTTATATGATGAGTAGTCTCTTCATAGATGTGCTCCTGGCTCCACACCTAGGAGTATATAGGCAGCACAAATGGTAGCCAAAGGGCTATTTTTTAAAAGAGGATACAAAATTGGAAAGTTAGGGTGGTGAATCTTGGAGGACTTGCAGGGTTAAATATCAAAATACATAATTTGAAATTCCCAAAGTAATAAAAAAAATTTAAGAATTATTGAATAAAGTGAAAAAGACAAGAATAAATAGAAATGTATCTCATGTTCATGGATAAGAATTGAAATTATTAAAATGTTCACATACAGATTCAATGAATCCTCCATTAAAAACCACAGCACACCTTTTCACAGAGATAGAAAAACAACCTTCAAGTTCAAGTGGAACCACAGACAGCCTTCAACGGTTAGAAGAAAGAATGAAGTTGTAGGCATCACTTCACTTGACCTCAAAACTTACCACCCATGCCAGTAATTCAAAATAGCATGCACTAACACAAAAACACACCAATAACAGGGCAGAGGAGAACAAAGAACCAAGAAATAAACCCACGCATTTACAGTCCTTCTTTTTTTTTTTTTTTTTTTTTTTTAAGATTCCAAGATTCCACATTGAGCAGTCTCTTCAACTGATCATGTGGCAGAAACTGGAGAGAAGACAAAGACTTACCTTATCCTACATACAAAAATAAACTTGAAACGGATTTAATACTGCCTGAAAATTAAGGTTACTGGAGAAATAAGAAAAACACTTCCTGACATGTCTGGATAAACTTTTTTGGTTTCTGTGTTTTGAGACAGGTTTTTTCTGTAGTGCTTTGGAGCCTGTCCTGGAACTCACTCTGTAGACCAGGCTGGCCTCAAACTCACAGAGATCCACCTGCCTCTGCCTCCCGAGTGCTGAGATTAAAAGTGTGTGCCACCAACGCCCAGCTTGGATAAACTTTTTTAAGATTTATTTTATCTTTAATTTTATATACATATGTATGTATGTGTATCGGTATGTGTATATGCCGTGTGTGTGTGTGTGTGTGTGTGTGTGTGTGTGTGTGTGTGCGCGCGCCTGTGGAGGCCAGAAGAGGCATCAGATCCCCTGAAGCTGGAGTTTCCATCAGTTGTGAGCTGCCTGATGTGAGTACAGGGAACTTAATTTAAGTCCTCTGGGAAAAAACAAAAATACAGTCAACAAATGCAAAACTGGAAACATGATGGAACTACAAAAAACTATAAAGCTTCCTCCGTACAAAGGGACAGAGTGAAGGACTGACCGGCATACTGTAAGGAAATACCATGAACTTGGTATCTAGTAAGACTGTTAATATCCAAGGGACATAAAATACTTGACAATAACAAGAAAGCAACATGATTTAAAAGACATTCCTTTAGAGAAAGTGCCAGTGGGTCTTTGGAAAGATATTCAACATCACTAACCACATAGAAGTACAAGGGAAAAATGTTGGTCTAAGGCAGAAAACCAGTTAGGAGAATTTAAGTTCAGGAGATGCATTATACAATTAGGTGACAACCTTAATAACAATGCATGTTTTGCTTGAAAATTGCTGAGTGTATTCTAACTGTTCTCACTGCCAAAATATGTGAGAGGATGACTATGTTAATTAGCTGGACTCAGTCATTCCAGCGTGTGTGCGTAACAAAACATCATATCCTATACATATATGTGCATAGGTACACGTAATCCAAATTGACATTTAAATGTGGGCTTTCCATGTAGGGTCTTCAGTTAACATCTATGAACCCACACCCAATGAATAGTTACCACCCCATGACTTTTACCCGAGCTACATAGGCCACATAAAGATGAAATTATTCCTTCCAAGTTGGTTTCAAATTTTGTGGGGTCAGGAAATACATTGATGTCCTTCCAAACTCCCACAAAACATAACAGCAATTAGAGGTGTGTTCCTAATTACCAAAATGGATGAGTGGAGGAGACAACTGTGCTCACTCCTAAGTGTCAACATAGATTGTTGACATGTCAGCAGGATGGAAGCTAATTTCCCATCAGAAACCATGACAAGAGGAACTCAGAACAAATGGATGGACCACAACCTAGGGGTTGAATGGGCAGGGAGAGGAATCATGACCACTGTCCTTCTCAAGCAATGTAGGAGGGATTGGAACAACAAAGTGGAATCTCAGAAACATCCAAACTGCCTTGGGGTGACAACCCAACCCCCACCCCTACCCCCACAATGCCAAATTCCTGTTCTGTGACGGAGCCCCGAGCATTATCTGCTTAGGCTAGGAGCGAACTGTGACTCACTGGCAATTTTAAATTGTAATAATGAGCCTGACATTGCTCCACCCGGATCCATTTCTCAGATAAACACCAACCTAGGGGCAACTGCCCTTCTACAGAAGGGAACCCAACAAACTTAGTTACTAATTAGAAAAAATCACCCAATTATGCTAACTTGCTGAGGCTGGCAAGCCGGGCTTTACTCTATGTAGGCAGAATTTCATAGAACACCCTTGAGAATTGTCTATAAAAAGGCCAACTAAACCATCAGGGTCAGAAGGCACTCCGTTCTGACTTTGAAGAACCCAGCTCTGCGATACCCTTGCACCAGGATCATGTCTCTTCGATTTTCCAGTGGATCCAGGAAGTCCTACGCCCGTCCCAGCACGGGATCACTCAGGGGAGCCAGCTTTGGCGCTGGGAATGCTTGTGGTATAGCAGGCATTGGAAGTGGCTTCTCCTGCGCCTTTGGGAGCAGCTCCACAGGAGGAAACACAGGGGCAGCCAACTCCTGTGCTGGCTTCACTGTGAATGAGGGGGGCCTTCTCTCTGGCAATGAGAAGGTGACCATGCAGAACCTCAATGACCGCCTGGCCTCCTACCTGGATAATGTACAAGCGCTACAAGAAGCCAACGCAGACCTGGAGCAGAAGATCAAGGGCTGGTATGAAAAGTTTGGACCAGGCTCCTGCCGGGGTCTCGATCATGACTATAGTAGATATTTCCCAATCATCGATGATCTTAAAAATCAGGTAAGAAATGATCTTTTTGCTGTCACGTGTATCTAAATTTCTCTTTACTGAAAAAGACATGCTACATCTTTATTTGTGGTAATTTTAATGGCATGCCACTTTAACACTGGAAATAATCTTGAAATAGATTCAAACGTTTAGCCTCGTGTTTAAAATGCCCTTGATGATAGCCTAATTTTTTTTTTGTTTGTTTTGTTTTTGTTTCTGTTTCTCAAGACAGGGTTTCTCTGTGTAACAGCTCTGGTTGTCCTGTAACTCTCTATCTCTATAGACCAGGCTGGCCTTGAACTCACAGAGATCTGCCTGCCTCTGCCTCCCCAGTACTGGGATTAAAGGCGTATGCTACCTACTTAATTTTTTGGTTGTGAGCCTAGCCTTTAATGGCTGAGCCATCTCCCCAGCCCTCCTACTTAATTTTTATCATTTTTAGCATCTTCTGACATTAAAAAAAAAAAAAACTCCGCCTTTTTAACTGTGATACATGGCCTTTTAATAAATCACACTTGTGGTTTCCAGATCATCACTTCCACCACCAGCAACGCCAATGCTGTTCTGCAGATTGACAATGCCAGGTTGACAGCTGATGACTTCAGACTCAAGTAAGTCGTCACAGAGTGAGGGGATCCACCGCGATTCTAGTGGTCTTAATTCAAATTCCCTTTTTCATCCCTCTGTGGGATATTAGTTGCTCTCACCCCCACAGTGGAAAGCCCTTGGATTTAAAAGAAGCAGTATGAACACAGAGAGGGTGGAAAGAGATGGGAGCAGTACTATGAATGCTCTGGACATGGCACAGCCATTGCCTTCACATCCTCATTGCAACTATAGTTATTTGAATGAAGTCAAGCCAATAAAATCAGTTGGCACCCTAGCAGGCGGCACTGATTAGACACTAAGTTATTAAAAAAACAAAAAAAGTGGGAGTAGGGAACTCGGGAGTTACAGATGGGTATGATCAAGACACATCTTAAATTCTTTTAGAAAAGAAAAGAAACAGAATGCTATTGCTCTTCTATACATTGGCTAGTTTCAGGGATTATCTATAAAACTAGCACCCAATAACCTACTTTTTTTTTTGTCAAATACTGCTCACTTTTTTTTATAAAAAGGATAAGTATATAATAAACTTCAAAGAAATCACAAAAGTGGCCAAATTTGCCACTTCAGACATCCCGAGTTTGGTGTATATCTATGATGGGTGACAAACTGGAAAAAAAAAAAAATCATCGCTACTCTTGAAGGTACGAAAATGAGCTGGCTCTCCACCAGAGTGTAGAGGCTGATGTCAACGGGCTGCGCAGAGTTCTGGATGAGATAACCCTGTGCAGGACTGACCTGGAGATTCAATACGAAACCCTGAGTGAGGAGCTGACTTACCTCAAGAAGAACCACAAAGAGGTAAGGGCTGGCAGGCTGGCTCTGCTCCTTCACACTGTCTGCCTCTCTGCAAATAACACTCCCAACACCCCCAACTCGAAACTAGTTTGAACACTCATCATCAAACCCACAGGAGGCCAGCTTGAGGTGTTGCATAGTCTACAGTCCCACATTCTTGTGCCCATTTTCCCATGTCTGGGAGGAAAGAACCATACTTTCCAGGCCACTTCTAAGATCAGCCGCTGGCTGTCATTATAGCCTTTAAGTGGTCTACTTAGACAATTACACCTAATTAGACAAAATGGATGTGCTTTAAAAGCCATTCTAAGAAAATCTGATCTTAATTTCCTCACAACAGCAGTACACATTACCTTCAAACATTCCGTACATAGCCTTAATATTAAGATATTATTTTTAATGATATTTGTATTATTTGAGAATTTTAAGCAATAGATGTTGATCATATTCACCCTTCCCCCCCAACTCCTCCCATAACCATCTTCTCCATCCCTCACCTCCCTACCCAACCAACTTTGAGTTTTCTTCACCTCTCCCCTCATCAAGTAGTTTGTGCTGCTTGGGGCCAGTCCTGGAGTGTGGTCACTTCCGGGGTCACATCATTAAAGAAAAATGACCCTCCCAGAAACTACCAAATGCCAATAGCACCTCCACTGGGGGTTGGATCTTGTACCCAATTCTCTTGCTCCATGCTGGGATTTTATCTGATTTGAGCTTGTGCAAGTCTTTCAAATGCCATTACAACCACCGTGAATTCATGCATGCAGCTGCCCCATTGTCTCCAGAAATCACTGGCTTGTCCAGCATTCTTTGGCATTGTGCACCACCTCCAAGTCTTCCAATCATTCCACCCCCTCTTCCACAATGATCTCTAAGTCTTGAGGAGAGGCTTCTGATATACAGGTCCCATTTAGCACTTAAAATATATCCTTCTATTTCTTTTTTGACTGATGGCCTTGGGTTTTCTTGTTGCTTTGTTTTGTTTTGCACTGGTGTTTGGCCTGCATGTATGTCTGTGTGAGGGTATCAGATCTTGGAGTTACAGACAGTTGTTAGCTGCCATGTGGGTGCTAGGAATTGAACTCAGGTCCTCTGGAAGAGCAGTCAATGCTCTCAACCACTGAGCCATCTCTCCAGCCTCCAAAATGTATTCTTAATAGACACAGTGATAGATGTGAAACTACAACTACACTCTTACACTAGAATGTATACTTCCTAGCACATAGCATCCTTCTGAAGTGCTCACTTGACCACCAAGCATTGTTTTTACAGTCCCTATTTTCTGCCCTAAAAAGGAGGGGGGCATCTTTTAAATACCTTTGGTATTTTTTTAAGTGGTTGAAGATATCCACAGTTAAGATGAATGCTTAAATCCAGAGCAAAAGCTAAAAGTCTACTTGGTTAGTCATGAGGCTAGCTTGTAAATTACACTGCTTGGATTTGGATTGCAGCATCCATTTGGTGCTAGGCGTTTATGTGTGGTTATAATCCATGGCAGTTACTCAATAAACTGTTGATGAATTAGGAACAATTGGTTTTTTAAATACTTTGGTTACAGATGGACCCACAGATACACGGGTTGTCCTTTGTTTTTTCTTTTCTTTTCTTTTCTTTTCTTTTTTTTTTTTTTTTCCTCCTTGCTTGGACTGGGAAAGTTTTCACTCAGCCCTCTGGCCTTTAAAGCCAAGCGCAGAGACAGATGAAACAGTGTGTACCAGGAAGGGACGAATGTGAGGAGCACCTGGGGATTGGCATCATGGATGAAAAAAAGCTGCCCTGGTTCAGGAGTGGGGAGGGAGGATTCGGCAGGAGACAGCCGAGGCTGGCAGGGACACCCACTGTCCATATACTTAGAAGGAACCCAGCCAACGGCAGGCCACTCAGTCAGAACACTGTGTCATCTTTGGCAGCCGAACAGATTTCTGTGATCACAATGACAGGAACCATAGTAACCAGCATTCACATGTCAAACAACATTGCCAAGCCACTGTGTTACTATTAATCCTTCCACTGCTTTTAACATCGCCCAGACAAGGATTCTTTAAATTAGCTCCAATTTTCAGATTAATCATAACTTTCCCAAATTAACACAGCTACAGCTGACCAGAACCAGAAATCACACAGAGATCTGTGTGACTCCAAAATCCAAAAAGGCACTGTAACCATAGTGCAAACTTTCTTTCCCTGCACACACACACACACACACACACACACACACACACCTATTTATATCATTAATTATATGAACTCAACCTTTTGACCATGCTCAGGCTGTATTCAGGGAGTAGCTGAGTCGAGAGAACTTTCAAGATGGTCTCTACCTGCTTGAAGAAGACAGACCAAAAGGGTGCATATTTAAACAATCCAAGTAAGAGCCAGAGGACAGTTCTTTTAAGTGGTTTAAGGACTTGTGCTTGTGAAGGAATCAAGACTTATTCTAGATAGGAGAAGGGTTACAGTGATAACAATAAAGTCCTCTGGAGCCTCTAAGATCCCCGCCACCCCACCCCCACCACCCAATGAAGCAAGGCTGACTGATATTTCTTCACCAGCCTTGAGAGGTAAGCCAAATGGATGGGAGTAATAAAATGTGGAAAGATGGTCACTGCAGAGCCAGGGTGAGGAAACCAGGATGAGAACTCCACCAAAGCGAAGCTTCTAGACTCCCTGGAAGTCCTACTGGACTTCAGCGCAACACCTCTATGCCCCCCAGGAAATGCAGGCTCTGCAGTGTGCGGCCGGAGGCAACGTGAACGTGGAGATGAACGCAGCCCCTGGCGTGGACCTCACGGTCCTGCTGAACAACATGCGAGCTGAGTACGAGGCTCTGGCTGAGCAGAACCGCAGGGATGCCGAGGCCTGGTTCCAGGAAAAGGTAACTCTCCCCTGACACCATCCCTATGTGTTTCAGTGATGTTCCCAAGCTAAGATCTGTCCCTCTTGGTTGTCATTTGTCATTTCAGAGCGCTTCGCTGCAGCAGCAGATCACCGAGGACGTGGGTGCCACCACCTCAGCCAGGAACGAACTGACCGAGATGAAGCGCACGCTCCAAACCCTTGAAATTGAACTTCAGTCTCTTCTAGCCACGGTATGCATGGAAGGAGTATGTTATTGCTCCCTAAGTTTGTTTTAAATTTCCACTCACTGGTTTAAAAGCCCCACTTGTTGCCGAGAAGATATCCACATATACTTTTGTTTTGTTTTATTTTTTTTGAGACTGGGTTTCGTATGTGGCTGTGACTGGCCTGGAACTCAGTATTTTAGACCATGTTAGCCTGGTACTCGAGAGATCCACCTGCCTGTGCCTCCTGACTGTTGGCATTAAAGGTGTGCGCCACTACACCTGACTGGCAAACACGTCTATACGTCCTTTTCATTGGCTCTGTACTCTTCCTGACAGAAACACTCGCTGGAGTGCTCCCTGACGGAGACCGAGGGCAACTACTGCACACAGCTGGCTCAGATCCAGGCTCAGATCAGCGCCCTGGAAGAGCAGCTGCACCAGGTCAGGACTGAGACCGAGGGCCAGAAGCTGGAATATGAGCAGCTGCTGAACGTCAAGGCCCACCTGGAGAAGGAGATCGAGACCTACTGCCTCCTCATTGGGGGAGATGAAGGGTAGGTGAAGGGATTTATATGCAAAATGCCATACCCATCCCATCCTCCATGCCCACTTATTCCACGGCAGTGGATTCCAACACCCACAGCAGGAAAATATCACAAACATTACATTGGTGCTGGACAAGCACAGGCTCCCTCTTAATTGTGCCCTAAACCTCAAAACACAGTGGCTACGTGCACAGCATTTGCACTAGAGTCGACAGTGTAAGTGACCCAGACATGCAAGGTAGAGGAGGACTTGTGGGAGTTCTTTGTGAGGACTATGCCATCCTTGTGATGATATTGGAACATCCTTTGACTCTGAATCCATTACAGCCATAGAACCTATCTCCCCTGATGCTGAGGGATGACTGTCCAGAAATGCACTTAACAATTAGATCTGTGATGAGCCTGTAACCATGAACAAATGTGGCTATATCTGTTGCCATGGGTGCCAGGGTTAAGCATCACACTCCATTGCCAAGAAACAACTCAGCAGCATTTGGCAAAAGTCAAACACAACAAGGAGTGGAGATTAAAACTGTCACTTTTTAATGTTAAAGGAGAGTGGTTTCCACTGTAACCCAGTGAATATTCTCCAAAGAGCAAAAGAAATTCCAATACTGGGTCTATAACAGAACAGATCTCTCCATGTGACTCTTCTGTGATGTTTTTGCAGGGCTTGTAAGTCTGCCAGTTACAAATCTAAAGATTATGGATCTGGAAATGCTGGAAATCAAATCAAAGGTAATGAAAATAAAATTCCATTGTTATGTCAGCCCACATCACTGCCAGTACATGGATCATTGTTGTCCTGCTACAGTAGGACTTAGAGCAGATACCATTGCACACTAAGTGTCTAATTTTAGACCTGTGTGCTTATTTTAGATAAAGTCAAACATCAGCATGATTTGGCCTAACCAAGTAATCAACAATCACCAAAAATGACGTATTTGTGCTTTCTACTTACTCAAACCTACATTTGGAAAAAAATCTTATTGTTCCTTTATGTAACTTCTTATTCATTTCCCCCTAGCTCTCTAAAATCTTTTAACTTGGAATTTTCAGATTCAGCCAAAGCCATTGTGGTTAAGAAAGTTCTAGAGGAGGTGGACCAGCGCAGCAAAATACTTACCACTAGGCTCCACTCCCTGGAAGAGAAATCTCAAAGCAATTAACAAAGATCATTAGCAAAAGAAAAAAATTAAAACCTCAGAGAAGACCAGGCATGAAATGCATCTGGGAAATGAGCAAGCCTACGAAGACTGTCTGTCCTGTTACCTTCTGTTCCTTTTTTCTTTCTGAGCCATTGGCAGCGGAACTCCCCATCCATCTGGAGAGCTGTCACGTGCAAACCTGAGGGCTCACCCAATCACCCCACAGCTGTCTGCTAGCAGTTCTTTACTGTCAATAAACCTTCCTTGAGCAACTGATCCCTGGTGCCTGGCATTGTCTTATCTTTGAAAGGTTCTTGGACAGGCTACAGAATATGAACACTTAGCAGCTTTGGATTTCTGTGGAAAGTTTACAAACCAATTAAGAGGTCTTCCCTCTAAGTTGTCACAAGGTCAGAGAGAATAAAAGCACTCCCACTGACACATTAATCAGCCACACTTGGACATAGGAAGCCTGTTTCCTGTCATAATAGGTACATTGTATGCGTGGAGCTTTCTTCGTCTGTAACTAGGAATAAAGAAAGCCTTTGTTTTAAATTATTGTAAAGATGAAGCAAGACACTGTAAAGTGTACTTGAAAATGCTAACTTCAGTTCAATTTCAATACTTATAATAAATAAATTTTCAAAATCGTTGTTCTTATGAATATATAGTAAAACAATATTCCAAATATGAGAAAGATTAGAGCAGAAGTTGGCTTAGAATCCAAAGCATACTAATAGAGCCATCCACCTGTGGCTTTGTAATTGTTCTTTATTAGCTTAAATCAATATTACATAATAATGTGTTGAACCATGACATTTTAACATAGTGCATTTTGTGTGTTTTATATATACACTTGTATATAGTATATTTTGATCCTATTCATTCCCCAGTATACTATCTTGTCTCCTCCACTCCTGCTAATCCCCTTCCTCTTCCCAATGAATCTTCCTTCTTTCTCTCTCTCTCTCTCTCTCTCTCTCTCTCTCTCTCTCTCTCTCTGTGTGTGTGTGTGTGTGTGTGTGTGTGTGTATTTCAATGAGTTTCATCATTAAGGTTGCTTACAGGCAAATAGCTATCATATCAATGAATACAACAATGAAGAAAAATGCCTCCCCCCCACCCTAAACTGTTAACTGCCTAAACTCCTCAGAGATAGATGGGCCTCTCATCCATTTGTCTCTTAAGGTCATATCATAACAAACACTTAATAACTATTTACCCCAATAAAGAGACATATGCTAGTCAGGGGTATTGACTGTTTTGACATCATAACACAGTATTGTCATCTACAAATGTGTTGGGCTGTATTCATAACTATCCTCAGACACATAGGGCCCATAGGCCACAGGTTGGACATGCCTGTTAGATAAACTGTAAACATGAATTTCCTTGTGTCCAATGTAGTCTCTTATACTTAGCTGAGCCTTGTATCTCTGTGGATGAATTATCTACATTATAATCCACTTGGGAAATTTTAATTTGGAGCTCTATGTGAAAACATCAAACAGAAAAGATGATGACATCACTTAAACACAGTGTAATTACTCCTGAATTGCTTTTGTGGTCATCTGATACAATCTTAGCTATAGGCCACTAAAGCCAGAATACCAGGTTATGTGAAAAGAAAACATTACGATCTCAGAGAAAATTCCACTTCAAAAGCTACCTCATAATTGTCAAAAAAAAAATACTGAAAGCAAACCACGTCCCTCTTCTCTGCCCTCCATCCAATCCACCATCATTAGCTACACTGATGCTCCCAAATGTAAATCTGTATACAACTATACATTTATTATCACAAACCTATGTATCAGAAAATGGAAAATTTAACATATGTAAATAAATTATACATGGTGGTCTGCTGAAAAGGCTTGTCATCTCCTGAGAGATTTCAGAATATCTCTTCCCAACTCCTTTGGCGCCATGGTTCTCCAGCTTAATATCAGCCCTTGGAAAGTATTTACACCAAAGAAATTGGCAAAAACTACAAAATAGGACTTCTGTCTCCTTTGCACACACATGTGTAAACAAATCTCAGGCTTCTTAACACCCTCCAGTGGGTTTCTACTGTACATGGCACAAACCTTAAGCATCTTTCAGGTCTTCTTATTTGACAGTTAGTAGTTGCTTATCTTGAGAACCCAGTATGGTGGGTTTTATCGGCTTGGCTGTATAATAACGCATGCTTGTTTCAGAGTCTACAACATGGTTCAGTGAATAAAGATGCTTGCAACCAAGCCTAATGACCTGAGTTCAATCCCTGAGACCCACATGCCAAGCTGAACCTCCAATTGTGTGCTGTGGCATATAAAGGAACACACACACATACACATATACATGTCCACATGTGCGCACACGCACACGCACACACACACACACACACACACACCACTAATTGTTTTGACAAAATTTCTCCTTGTCAAAGCCCAGGCATGTCACTTCAAGGACTGAAGTTTTTAGACATCCAGCTCTTTTAGAAAGACCACCACATGTGTGTTGAATACAAATGGGCTGCCACAGAGCACACTGTGGTCTTCATAGCCACCAGGGGCCCTAAGTGACTGGGAGGCGCTCTGATGCCCAAAACTACCTGAGAAGATGAAAGCAAGGCACAGAGAGGGGACAGAGACAAGTAGCCGATGTGGCTGAGAACAGTCAGGAAGCAAGGTTCAGCTCAGAGAGCTGGAGAGCTTTCTACGGGCAGTAAGAAATGAAGGTGGCATCTGGAGACTGGAGGTCCAGGGTTCCGGAGGCTGAGGCGGGAGGACCAAGAGTTCAAGGCTGATTTGGGTTACATAGGGAGACCCTGTCTCCAAAAGGATCTTAATAAAACCAACCCACAAACCAACCAATCAGGAGGCAGTGGTAAATGGGGAGATTATGCTATGCTGTTACAGAACAGCAGCATTAGAGCAGTGTGCCGTTTGCAATTTCCAAACGTAAAAGTTTGTGATTACAGGCAAACGGTGTCTGAAAATGTATTAGACATTTTTATTATTAGTATTATTTGGGGGATGAACCAATGAAGAAAAACAATGGTCGGGGCCAAAAAACTAAAGAGGCAGTAAAAATTGTTCACAAATTTCAGAACTCACTGTGTTGCTGAAGAGTGTAGTGTTTCAGACCACAGTGTGCAGGCAGGCAGCCAGCACCACAAAGCACAGTGAGGACATGACCCAGGCATGCGCAGTCATGCTTAATTATTTTTCATAAAGATATAACTGCATATATTTGTTAAGTAGACAAGAAAATAGAGCTTAACTATCAAAAGTATCATATGGGTCCAGCCATCTACAAAAGGATCTACGTCTTCATTCCTGCTTTAAGATTAACAATGAGGTGTTAGGGGGACCGGACGCAGTTTCCCTAATTCTCACACAGTGCTGACTTCAGTGGCTCTCACTCAGCACTGTGTCCCTCCTTCTGGGACTGTCCAGGGAGGTCTGGAGACGATGACTTCCAGAGAGTTAAAAACTACAACCCTTTTTATTATTTTATTTTAAAGGTAAATAACGACTAGTGGTTAAACTCCTAGTTATTGTTAAGTGGGAAAGGACAGAATAGTTTTTATATCTTCGAAATATCATTAAATATCAAAAAAAGGCACAGGCAGGGCAAAATAGATCAACTTGTCAGGGTGCTTGCTGCTAAGTCTGCCAAGTTTGATTCCCAGAAACCACTCTACAAAATTGTCCTCTAACTTCCACACTTGCTATATGGCATGCACACTTGGGCACATGCACACACATACACACACACACACACACACACACACACACACACACACACACAGAGGTTTTAAAACAGTCCTCGGTTTTAAATGAGAGTCGTAGTCCAAGAGTAATTTGTAAAATAATAATAATAATAATGAAATTTTTGAGGCAGGATTTCACTATGTAGCTCTGACTGACCTGGAACTCTATATGTAGACCAGGCTAACCTCTAATTCCTCTGTCTCCTGAGTGCTGGGATAAAAGGCACACAGCACCACACCTTGATTTGTAGATGTTTTTATTTTCCACACTTCACACTTACTGATTGTCAGCCATTGCTCCTGTCCTTACAAATAAAATGTACGATGTCTTGAGTAGCCCTCCAAAGCTGGGACTGGTGTCTTTGTTTTACAAATGGGTTGTAAAGGTCCAGAGGCATTCTCAGGGTCACAAAGCTAGTCAAACGCTGAATAAGTTAGGAAACTGAAAAGCAAAACTACAGCTCCAGGATTTTCCGGGGTCACACCATGCTCGCTTTTTGGAAACGGAAGGTATTTCCCACGGACACAGTTGTATAAAGCTATGAAGTTCCATATCAGCCTACTCAAAGCCCATGGTGCTAGACTGAAATTCTCTAGAGCCATGGAAATGCTGCTCATGCCCCAGCTCAGTACCTATCTCAGAGCGCCGGGTGATGTTTGTTGAGTTTACCACGATACAGACACCGCACGTAGGCGTCAGCTCTCTAGACCAGTTTGGAGCACACAGAGACAAGGATTCGAACCTATATATCCTTCTCATCATCATTCCCCACACTGGTCTCAGCAGTTGGTAGTGAATGGGATTTCAGTGGTTGACAACAGTCATTCACAGCAAGTGACAAAGGGGGTCTTAGCAGCAGGAGAGTAACAGGCAGCTTGGCAGTGACTTACTGCTAGGTCAGGGGATATGGCAGCAAGTCTGTGACAGCAGGTGTGGAATTAGAAAGTGGAGTGGCAAGGAGAGCCCCTGGGGCCAGCCCTGAGGAAACTGGGTCTCTAACTAGGGCAGCTGGTGGTCAGCAAGAGGAGACAGGAAATTGGCCATCTGCAGCCAAGAGACAACATCTAGGTCAATCTCAGTGAGTCACCTTTTCTTATGTGCGGGAGGGGAGGTTGCTTTTCTGACACTTTCTCAATATTGTGAAAATACAAATAAGAAGCCTGCCTATGTCTGTGTAAAACACTTGGGGGGGGGGCGGGCTCTGAGGTGGGCAAACATGAAAACAGCTTTTAGTGCTCTGAGCACTTGCTTGGTTTGAGGTTCTGCATACATAGGCATGCCTTTTGCAGCCTGGTTCCTTCATCTGCCCAACCACTCTCCAAACAATGTGTCTGGCCCCCTCACAAGCCTGACTCATGCCTGCATGGGTGCACACACTCCTGTCCCCAG